GTGCACCCTACATCTACACACACCACACATGTGCACCCTACATACACACACCACACATGTGCGCCCTACATCATTTACACACACCACAAATAAAAAGTCTGAAAACCATTTCAGGGGCTGAAAAGATGGCGCAGCCATCTACACCCACATAGCAGCTCACAACTGTCAGTAACTCTTGTTCCAGGGGATCCACCACCCTCTTCTGGTCTCTATACATAGGAAATATTTAAAAACAAAACAAACCAGGCCATGGCACGCTTGCCTTTAATCCCAGCACTCAGGAGGCAGAGATAGGTAGATCTTTGTGAGTTCAAGGCCAGCCTGGTCTACAAGATCTCATTCCAGGACAGCTAGGGCTGTTATCCAGAGAAACCCTGTCTCAAAAAACAAAATAAAACAAAACACAACAACAACAACAAAAGAAACTCTTTTAGGGTCTGGAGAAGTGGCTAGGAATACTCACTGCTCTTGCAGAGTACCCAGCACACATGTGCAGTTTATAATATCTACCCTTAACTTCCATGGGAACTAGCACCTTCTTCTCACCTTCAGGTATGTAGACAGTGCACATACATACATACAGGAATCATTCATATACATAAAATAAAAAATCTAATTTAAAAACAATTAGACACAAAAGGCTAGTAACAGTATGGTTCTGTGTGTAGGAAATGCCCAGAATATGTATGTGTGTGTGTGTGTGTATAGACAGGAAGATTCGTAGTTACTAAGGGCTGTGTGGGGAAGGATTCGGGGAATGACTACTGAAACTGGATTAAGGTGATGTGAATATACTAAAACCCACTCAGTGTATACAGTTGGTTTCCACATCTATAAATTCAGCTAACCGCCGATCAAAAATACATGAAAAAAGAAAATTGGGTTTACACCAGACACATAAACCTGACTTGTTGTCATGCTCTAACTGATTAGCTTCAGCGATCAACAAAGTGTTTGTATTATGTTCTGTGTTCTGGATTAGCTCAAGATGGTGTAAAGTACACTGGATAATACGCAGACATTATTTACAAATACTGAACTCCTTTCTATAAGAGGCTTGAGCATCCATAGGTTTTGGTAGCTCTGGACTCTTAAAATGGTGAGTTTATCTTGTGTGAATTCACTCACAATTTTGAAAACACATCATCTCTTCCCTGAGAATTGTGATATAAAATAGCTTCTTTCTTGTGGGATGGAGTAGGATGATCTCAGGTGTCTTTCAGCGGTGGCTAAGGGACACATAGCCAGCTCTCTGGGAACACAGGGTCTTGGGCCTGGGTAGGCTGGAACTGGATCACGACAGCCACTGTCTGAGCCTGGACCTTAGAGCAGCCAGGGAGTGGGCTCCAGGAAGTTAGCTGCTCCTAGGCTCAGGACGGCTCTGGCTGGTGGCTCCTGTGTAGAAAGGGCCTGCAAGAGTCATGAGCCCTGGGAGCTGGCAGGGGCCAAAGAGAAGAGGGTGTGTGGAACTTCCTGTGGCCCAGCCATCACCGCCCCCTCTTCCTTCTCCCTCAGATCCTAGTGAAGACCATGATTCGGAAACGCTCCTTCGGGAACCCATTTGAGGGCAGCCGGCGGGAGGAACGTTCCTTGTCAGCACCTGGAAACCTGCTCACGTGAGTGACCCCCACCTTCTTTCCAGTCCTGGGGAGGGAGACTATAAGTTAGGTCTGGGCCACCCCAGGAGAGACATACTGGGGATGTCAGTCGACCCTGGCTTTGCTCGTATAGCCTCCTTAGCTCAGCCAGCATCCATCTGTTGGCAGTGTACACACCCTGAAACTTCAGCCTCCCCCAAGAACTTGCTCTTTCACTGGGGCATTCTGGGTTGCAGCAATCTGTGGCCCCGGAAACATGAGTATTTTGGGGCATTATGATGGATGCGTCACATGGTCTCACTCTGGGACTTTCTGTGTGAACACGTGTGCATTCACCTGCTCACATAGACTACCCTGGTATAGGTTCTGTGTCAGATGCTGGGGTCTACTGTCTCTGGGGTGTGGGGCATCCCCAGGGTCCCGTCTCACTTCCCTTTTCCCTTCCTCCGGCAATTCCAGCAAAAAACCAACCAGGGAATGGGAGCCCTTGTCTGAGCCCAAGGTAATGCCTGTCTGCCTGCCTGTGCCATCGCCTCCCCTACGCTGGGGCCTGGGGGCGGGCATCTGCAGAGCACGTGGGCATCTCCACCAGGCAGATGTGCCTTCAGCCTGAGCTGCTGTGCCTGGTTCACCGAGGGCCTCTAGGCTTACAATAAGGGGCATCTAGGGGCTTGGGTCCCATGGCGTGTCATGCATGTGGGCTGGGCTGCGGTGCATGGCGCTCCACCCGGAATGCCTGTAAACTTACCCAGGTCTTCAGGCCCAACTGGATAGCTGCGTAGCTCAGCACATCAATGCCATTGAAGGTCTACTGTGGCCCGGGACTGTGCTCTAAGTGTGCACACATCAGGCCTGCTGCACTCTGGCTCTTCACTAGGGCTCTCTCTGCAGCTCTGGTGGGTTAAATCCTAGAACTAAATCCATCTGTCTGTGACCTTAGTCAGGTCGGAGCTTTCTCCTACCTGCCTGCATATCTATCAGGCAGTGTTACCTACAACTTCCAGAGCAGATGAACACTTTTGCTGGGTAGACCCGTTTGGTAACCCTGTTCCAAGTGCCTCCTTCAGGACACTGACCCTGATGAGGCTGCCTGACTCTGTTGGGAGCCCCTGTCAGCCACTTCTCTTGTTAAAAGTAACTTTATTGGAGACAGGGAGATCGTTAAGTTGTTAAGAGTGTTTTCCACACAAGCATGAGGACTTGAGTTCAACCAGAACCCATGTAAAATACCAGGTGAGGTAGCATGAGTTTTCTGGGGAGGTGGAGACAGGCAGATCCCTAGAGCTGACTGTTTAGTCAGCCTAGCTTCAAAAAACAAAGTGGATGGCACCTGAAGTTGACCTCTGGGTTCCATGCATTTGTGAACATTTACATACACATACCATAGCTTTATCAAAGGTGGGACTGGAGCTCTTCAGTAGAGTACTCACCTAGTGTGCCCAGCGCCGTGCATCTCATCATCCCCAGCACTGCAAACAAATGAAGAGCTCAGTTTTACTAATGTAGCCCCATAGCTCATCACTGTAAACTGTGCAGTACAGTCCCTGTGTAGCCATCAGGACAGTTCCAGCCCAAGAAGGAACCTTCCTCCTTTGAGCTATCTCCACTCAAACCTCTCGGTTTCCGGTATCCACTGATGCACGTTCAGTTTTCTACAGATTTGCCCATTCTGGAGGGTTTTGTAAGTGGGATAATAGTACAGTATGTGGCCTTTCATGTCTGCCTTCTTTGTCTCAGCAGCATGTTTCCAAGGCCCATCCACAGGGCAGCATCTGTCAGTACTCCTTGCTGTTCATAACCAAGTAGTATTTATATGGGTAGTAATATTTGGGTCCATTGGTGGAAGGTGTTTCTCTCTTGGCTGTCACAAATGAGTGAGCCTGCTGTGAACTTTGTATGCAAGAACTATTTTCTTCTCGTTGGGTGTTGGTTTATATGAGGATGTTCATTGGCCACCTGTATCCTAGGAGCCAGGGGCTCGTGTGATGTAGGAGAACACCTGTTGTTTGGAATAGTGTTTTTGAGATGAGAGCCGGGGAGGTGTGTCCAGATTAGCATTAGACAGGTGGCTGCCTTGTCCCCACCTTGTTCCCAGATGACCTGCAGCCTCACCCTTGTGTTATGAGAAATGGACCTTGTCTTCTTTCTCTGGTAAGGCCAAAACCAAGGCTGCCTACCGACTCCGAGCAAAGTTTTCTCTACGTTTCTTTTTTTGTTGGTTTGTTTTTCACTGAGATCAGAATGGCGTGATATCAGCAGACTAAGACTGCTCGGTGCTCTCGTGCTCCTTCATTCCCTAGGCAGCAGACACAGCATCACCCTAGGGCTGCCTGCCAGGGCTGGGCATTTGTAGAACTTACTTGTGGAAGATCCTGAGCCAAGGTCTGTCTGCAGCGAGACCTGGCATGCATCAGTTGGCAGCTTTGAGGGCAGGCATTCTTCCCAGGAACCTCACCTCTGGAATATAAAAACCAAAGAGCAGATAATGTAATTCTCAAACATAAGTGTTTCTTCCTTAGGGACACAGGGACACCACAGTTTACCTTCCCTATGTAGGGACAGAGGCCTCTGTTTGGGTCGAGCATAGAGATCGTTGCTGAGAATGGACAGCAGCCCCGAGTGGCAAGGCCAGGGACTCTTCCTACAAGGGGCTCTGCTTGAAAGAAGCCTGGGGCCAGGTTCCCTCCTCAGAACCCCCTTCTGTCTGCTGAAACTCCATCCCTGCTGGCCTCCAGGCAGGTCTAGTGGCTGTAAAGGTTCTTCTGAGTGGGGAGCGGGTAGTGGGGATGAACTGGGTGTTGCAGGCTTTTCCTACAGTTCATATAGGCCTGGCGCTGCCCCAGCAGCTCACTGTGGAGTGACTGGGAAAAAGTGTCCCAGTGTCCGCCCTACAGCCACTTCTAGCCTAGAGTAAAGATGGACCTCAGAGAGCACGCCCCACTGTAGACCCTGCCGTGAATTGGGCTGTTCATAAGTAGTTTGGTACCAGTTTTATAGTTCTTTGCTTTTTGGGGTAAATCTTGCTCCTCCATTTATAGAGGAGGTAACGTCGGCTTTGAGATATTTAAGTGAGCCAGTAGAAATGGGGAGCACATCTAAGAGCGGATGTGACCCCCAGGGGTAGAGACCTGCAAAGGTGGGAGACCGGCCAGGGCCCCGCCATCATTTCTCCAAGTCTTAATGTTGATTTTCTGTTCGGTGAGCAGGAAACAAGGCAGCGAAGACAGCCTACGGGGCCCCGAGCCAACCCCTGTGGGGGAGGAGGAAGTACTCTTGTGAAAGGTGGTCCCTGCGTGGAAAGTTGGGGAGCTCCGGCCCCTGGCTCCCCACCACGCATGCCTCCACTGCAGCCTGAGGAGGCGGCGATGGAGCTGGAGTAACTGCCTGGATCACCCGACCTCGCATGCCTGGCTGTGTGGCCCTGCACGGGTCTGCTGCACCCTGCGTTTCCATAGCAGCATGTCCTACGGAAACCAAGCACGTGTGTAGAGCCTTGACCGTCATCTCTGGTTATCCAGGTTGTTTGTGTGTTTGTTTTGGGATTTTTGGGGGGGGTGTGTGTGTGCGTGCGTGTATGTGTTTGTGTGTGTATGTGGTTTTTCTTTTTTTTTTTCTCCTTTGTTGTCTAAGGGGACAAAGAAAAAAAAAAGGACATGACTCCATGACGTCGATTTTGGCTGCTGGTTGGCCGGACCGGCGGGTGAGGAGTTGCAAACCAACATGCATTTGGGGACAATTGCTTTTTAAAACATTTTATGCCAAAACAAAAAAAAACCTTCATTGAGAATTCAGAACCATGTCGGATGTACCAAGTGAATGTGTGTGGGGTTTGAGCTGCGTGGAGAATCAGGTGGAGAAACTCCTGCTGGCTGGGGCGGCACTTGAGAGGGAGTGGAAGGTTCAGCGTGACCCTTCCGGGACTATGGGAGAACAGGGCCGGCCTCAGGAGCTGCAGGGAACTTCAGTGTGATTTATTTGTAATGAGGACTTTTTAATTTTTTTTTTTATGGATAAAATTCTAGTCAGGAAAGCTAAAAGGGCTTGCAGTTGAAGTGCTTGAGGGGGTTCTGCTACCCTGAAAGAGCCCTCGGCAGCTGTGGTGGCAAAGGCTCGTCTAGAGAACTGAACATTCCTTCACATTCGCTGCTCGCGGTGGGTCTCTGAGGTTATCAGCTCAGCTCATTTTCTTTGTAAACTGGCAAAGACCTCAGGGTGAAGGCCTGCACTTTCATGTACATTACATGGCTTAGACTCTGCAGATGTTCCCATGTCTCTAACTAGCCTGGACTCTGGAGACATCACAGGTTACATATTGGAGCTTCCAGGGTCTGTCACCTTCCGCCATGCCATTGTGTGATGGGGACTGAGCGCCAACGAAACCTGTGCCTGTATATTAGCAGCTTTGCTTGTTTGTTACCTGTGTATTCTAGAGACTGTAAGGTTTCTCCTCTCTTAAATACTGTCTGGTTGACACAGTCAAGGAAACATCACTTTCCCGTGGGCCACTTTCCTGTGGGCAATACTGTCACTCAGCTTAGGCACAGATGGCTATCCTTAGGATCAGAGCTTTAGTGTGACCCACACAGTGACATCAGGGAGCCATTGTACAGAAAAGCGTCAAAACCCAGAACGTTCCTCAGGGCAAAGGACGTTTTTTTGTTTTGTTTTGTTGTTTTGTTTTGTTTTCTTTTTTTTTTTTTTTTGTGGCCAGAGGCCTAGAGAGTAAACATAGACCTTTTTGACTTCCAGCCAATATTGGAAGTTTGATAGAGGTTTGGGTGAGTACCCAGGGCCGCAGAGGAAACCATGACGTTTAAGGGGCCTTCCAGACTCTGCTTTTCATGTTTTGGAACGATCTGGTAATGATTGTCTTGTCAGTAACCGGGCTCAGAAGACTGCTTTCTGGGAGTCTCTGTCTGGTGAGCGGCCGTGCAGGCCGTCCTGCAGAGGCCGGAGCGAGGCCTGTCCCCACTGCCTGGACACATGCAGAGCCCAGGCGTTCCTGGCGTCCAGAGGTTTTCTTAAGCTCTCGACTGTAGTATGGCCAGGCCTTTCTTGTTGTCACATAAGCAATTAGAATTAGAGCAAAGACTCCAGGGTGGGTGGGGTGGGTGGCTGACCCTCTCACCGCTTGCATTGTCTCTGTGACCAAGGACTTCCTATCAGTTTCCCTCTTTTAAATTTAAGGAGAAATAACCCAGTAGCTTTAACCCTTCTGGCCACAGATGGGGTTCCCCTAGTTTGCAATAAGCACCTTGTGGTAGTTAAAGCTAACAGGCCCTGAGGCTCAGTCCCAGCCTGTCTGCCTGGACTCTGGCTTGGCCTAATGGCCGCCTGGGAGGACAGGCATTGTGTGGAGCTCTCCAGAACTCTTCTTGTGTTTACACAGCCCTACTGGGCAATGCCCTTTCTCCCGCCAGGGAACTTCCCTTCCGAGGTGTCGGAAATGGGTTGCCGGCAGTCAGGCAGCACCGGGGTTGAGAGGTCCACATTGGGTAACTTTTTTCTTAAACAATGAAACACCAAAGAAAGCTGTGGAAAGGAGCGCCCCTCTCGCTCCCATCCTGCCTTGCTGCCTGCCGTGGAAAATGTAAGAAAGAGGTCTGGCCATGACTGGAGCACTAGAGCACAAACATTGTTTTCAAAAGCGTTGTCAGGCTGCCTGGCAACTTTTGTGTGGGCAGATACAATGCCTGCACTTCCTTCTGTGCTGGTTCATCCATGGTTAATATATAGGCAACCCTGGCCCGCACCTACGCCTTGAAGGAAGCACAAGTCCTCCCCCCTTTTTCTCTGTCTTTTCTGCCTCCCCCATCCATCCCGCAGGCTACCAGTGGCCCCTAGACACCTTACAGAGCCCCTCGTCACTTAGGGCTACAGAGGCCAGCTCCCTACTGGTCTGGCCTTTCCAGGGACAGAGCTCTTGTCCCCGAACCTTCCTAGAATGAGAACATTTGTACCAGTTGACACCAGGTTAGGCCCGTGCCCTCGCCCATCTTCCTGAGGGCATCTTTACATTGCCAGTGCAGAGCCAGAGCCTCCATTGCTCCCAAGGTGCTAGGGAAGATTGCTGGTCCCCTCTTCTCCAGCTTCGTGAGCTGAGTGTCATGGGACTTTGGACTTTTCCGTTTGGTGACTGATGGCCTCTGCTTCTGTTTGATTGCCCCGGACCCTCTCTACTATGCATTTTCCTTTTATCAGGTGTACAGAGTTAAATACTGTGTATTTATCACTTACAAGTACATGAACTGAAGAGAAAAGACAAGCTTGCGGTTGTTTTCCCACAGGTGATTAAGCTTCTCTGTAAACTTGAAATAAACAGACAGCAAAATGGTGCAAAGCCTGGGCCTGCTGGGGTGCTTCTATCGGTGACTGTCCTTTTGTGGTGTTTCTGCTTATGTTGGCATTCCAGATCCCCTGATGTAGGCATGGCATGAGGTGTCCCTAATCAGCGTGATTTGTAGACCAACTGTATGCACAGTTCTTGGAAGCAGGGCAGAGTGCGTATTCCTGGGTCCCATGTAACTGCTCTGCAGGTCCGAGTGTGGAGGTAAGGGTAGCATTCTGGGAGGTTGGACAGGTGAGCACATCGCATTAGGTGCATGTCCTATGGCCTGACATTGTTTTCCTGGCTTTGAACTTTACTTTCAAAAAAGTCCTATACCAAACTACAGAAATGGGCTGTTGTCAGGCGTGGTGCTCGTGCCTCCAGTCCCCATACTCGGGAGGCTGAGGCAGGGGGATACCAAGTTCCAGGCCAGGCTAGGCTGCATAGTGAGATTCTATCTAAAAGTAAGACATAGAGGCTCTTCAGACTCAAGGGGAGGTTCCTGAGAATCTGAGGCTGTGGAAAACCCATTCCTTGGGGTTCATCACTGTGCAGGCTTCAGGGAGTCCTGAAAGCCCACTCATGCACGTACGGTTGAAGGATCCTGTCACCAGCTCCCATTGAAGAAGTGTGCCAGTGAGTAGAACTGCAGACGAATGCAAGGTGACCCGGGTGAGGGAAGTGAACGGTGCCCCAAACATCCACTCTCTCTCCCTACCCGAGGAGGCGCCAGCACTCGCAGCCTTTGCAGCCGTGAGCAAAGCGTTTGTCTTCTCCTTACGGAGCTACTGGAGTAGAGTGCCCCAAACTGGGCATTTGCAAATAGAAATCTCCAGATTTCTGGTGGCGGGGAAGTCCATGATCACCATTCCAGCAGATTCTGGGTCTGGTGAGGGCTGCCGACTTCCTCCAGGACCGACCACAGGATGAGATTCTCTGTCAAGCCTTCTGATAAGGCACTTGAGAAATCCCGTTCGTGAAGGAAGAGTGCTCCGAGAGGTCTCCACATCCTGTCACGTCAGAGATCCAGTTTCCAAACGTGAATTTTGGGGGACGTACTCTAACTATGGCAGCAGCTCTAAACCTTCCAAGTCCGTAAGATTTGTGTTTAAGTAGCGCCTAAGAACTCATTCTTTTTTGTTTTGTTTTTCGAGACAGGGTCTCTGGAAGTAGCTCTTGTAGACCAGGCTGGCCTTGAACTCACAAAGATCCGCCTTTAAAGGCACACGCCACCACCCACAAGAACTCATTCTAGTGTGTGTGTGTGTGTGTGTGTGTGTGTGTGTGTGTGTGTATGTGTACACGTCATGTGGTTGCCTGTAAAGGCAAGAGGCTGATGTCAGATCCCCTAGATCTTCAGTACAATCATTCATGACCCTCCTGATGTGGGTGTTGAAAACTGAACTCATGTCCTCTTCAAGGGCAGCAAAGGCTCTTAACCACCCAGCCATCTTCAGCCTTGATGTGAACTCTTGGGGGAAGAAAAGCCATGCAAACCAGAGTTTTGCTAATACCATTTCATAAATCTTGTTTCTCCCTCCTCTCCACACACCTACTCAAAGCAAAAACCCAGGCTGGCGATTAACCGAGAAGAAACAGCATTACTCCCGAAATGAACTGACTAATGGCAAAGCGGAGGGATGAGCCGCTTTTCACAGTTCAGAATTGAGCCAATGTGATGGTGTGAACCTGCAGGCTGGCAGTGGCACCAGTGTGTACCTGTAGCAACAGACGCAGGAGGTCCTGCTTCGAGCTGGAGAAACTAATGAGGGGGACGGGAAAAGCCACGGCCCTGAAACTGTTACCTGTAGACCAGCGGCCCCTCTTATGATAGTAGCTGTTTCGTATGAAAACATTGCGTACGTTCTGTGGGAACACAACCTGATGAGGATCACAGTTCGTGGGCTTGTAGGTTATTAGGGGGAAAATGCTGAAGTCCCAGGAACAAGTCTGGGGCTGTGGCTCAATGGTAAGAGCATCTGCAAGACCCAGAGTCTAGTTCCTAGCACCACGAAACCATAGCACCACGAAACCAAAACTTCCCGCCAGAAGCAAGCTGAGTCCTCTCCTGAGCATGGCAGCTGGCCCACAGAAGAATTTACTGTGAAGGTTGTCACAGATACTGACTGGAAAGTGGGGTCCCCAAAGAAAGCTGTTTATTCAGAGATGGTGGAAGGGTGCAGTGGTGTGTCAATGCTGTGGGCCAGGGCAGGATAGAGGTGGTAAATGTGGGTACTGCTAAGAATTCTGCGACCAGGGCTGTTACAAACCACAAGTTCTTTGGTTTCTTGTGGGCAGTGACAAGAAGGTGATCAGGAACTCCAGCTGGTCCTGAAGTGACCTTCGCAGCAGGGTTGTGCATAGGAGTAATCTTACTATCTGGACCACGTGAGGATCTGCTGGCCCAGCCCCTTCTTATCTGGGGACTCCATTTGGATGTTGACGACTTTCATGATGGAAGGAGCGCTCCAGCTCCCATGCCAAGAGACCACACAGACAAGGATTTTAATGTCATTTAATGTTTGGTCCTCAGTCATTTCAACATAGCCCTTCTGAAAGGGAAAGCTAACTCTGCCTTTGTCACAAGGGGCAGAGTCTAGTTACAGGGAAGAGGAGCCGTGCCCCAGGCCTGCCAGCGACACCTGGAGAACCCCCTCCTTATAAAGTGCTTGGACAAAGCCGCTGTGCCTCAGAGGACCAGGACTTCCGAGGGAGCCGGTCCCGGAGACGCTGGAGAAGGTGGCAGCCCCACAAGTCACAGCAGTGCCTCAGCTCTCCGACTGCTGTATTTCCTCAGTATGCTGATACTGTATAAACACCCCACACCTAGACATCCACCTCTGGGACCAAGTCCCTTGGCTGGGGTCCAGCCTGGGGTCACTGCAGTGAACAAATGAGCCCTCCACACAAGGCGAGGTTAAAGGCTCTAGAGGGTGGAGGAATGTCTAGGCTTTGAGGCCAACCTGAGGTACGTACGGTGAAACCGTAAAAGATTTTTTAAAAAAATGCCAAACCCACAAGGAGAAGGGTACTGTGAAGTACCTCTGTAATTCCAGCACTCTTGGGGGCTGGAGCAGAAAGATCCTGAGTCTGAAACTCAGCTGAGCCACAAAGCAAGACCCAGGCTCAAAAATGACAAAACCAAAATGATACAAGACCCACTAGGCAACCCTGAGTGTGGAGTGGAGGAGCAGAGTTCAGCAGCCGTTTCTCCCTTCTCACTGTTTTGATGAGAGCTGTGTGGGGCTGAAGTGTACGGTCAGGCATCACTGGTCCATCTCGCCCGCGAGACCCTGCAGAGGTGTGGGGGGTAAACACATAACTACCCAGCATGTGTTGCCACCAGGATTTACCCAACCACCAGGGGCAGGAGGAGCTTGGTGCTTTCCTTTGAGGGTTTCTGGAAGGATTTTAACAATAGAGAGGCCTCAAGTTGGTTCTGGAAGGTCTCACAGTATGGTATAGAACCCTTATTCTTTAAGATGAATGTACCATGTTGATATAGATACTACTAGCTGCTACCACAATCCAGGTGTGACTAATTAAAGCTGGGTTAGCCGGGTGGTGGTAGCGCACGCCTGTAATCCCAGCACTCGGGAAGCAGAGGCAGGCGGATCTTTGTGAGATTGAGGTCAGCCTGATCTACGGAGCAAGTTCCAGGACAGCCAGGGCTACACAGAAACCCTGTCTTGAAAAACAAAAACAGCTGGGCTTTAAAGAATCCGAAGAAAAGCTGGAAGTAAATGCTATCACAGGTCAGTTGGACAGGTCAGTGCCAACCTTTGAGAAGGGCCTTGTCTGGTGTTCTCCGCTGGGACAAGAGACAAGACAGGGTGCTCAGACCTATGGCCTGCCCGGCCCAGCTGCCTACCTGCTCGTAGTCTTCCACATACTTATATTTCTTGTCCCGGTAGTAGTATCTTTTCTTCATGCAGTAGAGGACTATGACGTCACATAGCACAGTCGCCTGGTTTAGCACAGAACGAACCAGAATGTGATTAGCTGTTGCTTCGTGTAGACCCCTTCCTTTCAAACCTAGCCTGCTGAGGAGGAAAGGCATCTCCATTCCTGAATCAGGCTGGACCCCAGCCAAGGACTTGGTCCCAGAGATGGGATGTCTAGGCTTCTCTCCTCACCCCTAGAAGTGTCTAGTCTAGGGACAAGTCTGAGGGTGTAGGGAAGGACAGCGCTCGCTATGCTCCTTGCTAGTAAGAAAGATCCAGTTCCCGAAAGGATCAATTTGCCACTCACCACCCCCAGCAGTGCCAAGCCAGAGCCAACGTTGATCATGGTAGGGATGATGTCAAACTTCCCAGCCTGCATAAGATAGGAAGAGAACCAAAGTGGGGTGACGGCAGAAAATAGGGTGGTGGGAGGCTCCCTCTCCCAGTGGGGTTCAAGGGAGGGCCAACCTTTCCAAACACGATGATGTCAAAGCGGATGCCATATGCCTTGATGAGTGTGCGCTGCTCATTACCGGCGAGGTCCCTGTAGTACTTGGCAAACCTGAGGGAGAAGACGGTGGGTTAGGGAGAAAGCTGTTAGGGCGGGACCCGAGGCCCTGGGCACGGCTGGTCGTGGCCAGTGCAGACTTAGCAGACACTAAGCACCCCAGGTCAGCCTGCCAGCTAATGTGACACCTCTGTCGTCACCATCTCCCGCAGGATGGCAGAAGCCTCTTGCTCTGAATGGCCTTCCTGATACAGCCAAGACACCTGCCTCTCTCCAGGGGCCCTTGGCGACCAACAGAGAGCTGGTCAGCCAGCAGGGATTTGCAGGACCGCAGGAAGGATGAGGGCCAAGCCAGCCACAGCACTTGCTTCGGCCCACGATCTTGGCTCCAGGTGGATGTGCCACGCCTCAGTGGTTCTGCTCACCATCTGTTTTTTGTTGTTTATATGCCTGGGTTGGCATGTACACTTGAGCTGAATACAGTTGTACCACTCGCCCACCAAACTACAGAATTCAAGTCAGGGGAGTCTGTAATCCCAGAGCTCCGGAAACTTAAAAGATCTATCGGTTGTTCTGAAATATACAATTTTAGAATTTCAACACCTCCAAAAGAAACCTTGCCTTGATTACTGTTCTACCAGACCCCAGCCTTAGCATTCTACCAGGATCTTAAGCCTCGGATTTATCTGTTCCACAGCTTCTATGCTGTGGTCCAGGCTTGGGACTGTCAGGTGAGGTTAGTGCCGGCAGAAGCCAGGAGCTGGGTGTCCTGTGGGATCCATCAAGTTCTCAGCTCGAGGATTCCAACTCAGGCTTGAGGTCTCCACAACAGTCTCTATTAGAACCGTGAAGTAATAGAAGTGGAACAAGAGAAATCGGACTCCCAGTCTGGGTAAGCCTTCACACAAATCTGATACCACAAATTACCACTAGAGGGAGTCAAAGGGCAACCTTTTTAAAGACCCATGCAGCAAATACACATTAAATGTACATAGGATTTTGCTGCTTTAAGAAAATGGCAGAGGTGTCCCCAGGCCTCTCATCAGGTTCCCAGTGTCCTGTATTTTAGAGTGCCCCCTTCCCAAGCTCTTATTCACCTAGGGCCCGCAAATGTGACCTTATTTGGAAAGACGGCTTTGCAGACGTAATTAGTTAAAATGAGGTCATGCTAGATTACAGTCCACCCTAAGTCCAATGTTCAAGAAGAGGAGGAGAGATGGGACCAGGCGTGGTGGTGCATGCCTTTAACCCAGAACTCAGGAGGCTAAGGCAGTTCTATTTCTGGAGCTTGAGACCAGCTTGGTCTACACAGCAAGTTCCTGGTCTGTCTAAAAAAGGTGGATGTGGAGGTGCACACCTCTGATCCTAGCACTTGGGGTGATGGCAGGGGGATCAGGAGTTCAAGGCCATCCTCAGTTACATAGAGAAAAGATGCGCAGAGGTAAGAAGATCATGTGACTGCAGAGGTGGTGACACACAAGCTAAGGATTGCTGGTAGCCAACAAGTGCTTGAAGAGGCCAAGAAGAATCCAGTAACAAAGCTTGTGGCAGCACAACCCTGCAGACACCTTGATTCTAGACTTCTGATTTCAAACTACCAAAAAATAAAACTCTGTTATTTTGAACCATTCAGTTTTGTTACTAGAGTCCAGGGAAGCTGGTATTTTCAGCAGGCAAATTTGAGCACAGCCCTTTGTTTTACTTTACTGAGATGGCCTCGTGAGGCAGTCAGGCTTGCCTCAAATGTGTGCCTCTGCTTCAGTCCCCCAGGATCTGGAGTTAAAGATGTGTGCCACCATGCCTGGCTTGAGCAGAGACAGGCCTCTCGATAGGTTACGCCTATAACCCCTGCATGCTTACATGATGGGGCTGCATCTGTTACTAAAAAACCATTTCTGGACCATTGGCCTTGAACAGAGTTCATAAGCTCATCCTGTTCCTCACAGTAGTCAGCAGGGATGTGGCAAAAGATGGCCCTCAGAAGCCTAAGATGCTGGCTTCTCTCCTCTGCCCTGCAAATCTCAACACATTAAAAACAAAAAAGATTTTATTTTTATCTGATGTGTATGAGTGTTTTGCCTACATATAAATGCATCATGTATATGCTGTGCCCAAGGAAGCCAGAAGAGGGTGTTGGATGCCCTGGATCAGGAGTTGTGACAATTGTAAGCTGCCGTGTAGGTGCTGGGAACCAAACCCTGGTCCTCGGGAAGAGCAGCAAGTGATCTTAACTGCTGAGCGCTTGTAGCATCAAAGAGTAAGGAGAGCTCTCGTGGGCCTGGACATCCCCTGAGCAAGGCCCTTCCCATTCCCTGGGAGTGTCCTGCCAGGTTCCTGGCCTTCCTGCCTGGAACCGGTGATACACAGCCTGTCCCGTGGGTACTGTCTTGGTGGGGGGGCGGTATGAATAACCTCATAGTATCTGCTATCACCCCTCTCCCCAGCATGTTTGTGGCAAGGCCCAGGCTCACGTACCTGAAATTGTAGCCAGGGGACACATTGTGTTCCAGGTCCCGGGTGTCGAGGCGCCGGAAGGAGTACCTGGGCAGGCAGAGGGAGGCCGCTCTGTCCAGGTTACAGTCCCACTTGACCTGAATGCCCATGATGCCTCCCTATGGGGGAAGCAAGGGAGACACAGCCAGGCTTTCAGAACTTGGGTTCATGCTGGGGTCAAGGAGGTGTGTGAAAAGCCGTGCTAGCTCCTACCTCAACTGCCATGTCCTGGAAGCTGTGCCCTGCGTCCTCCACGATTTTGCCAAGACGGAATATGGGGCAGAAGGGATCTGTCTGCGCGTCATAGATGCACGACTTGAGGTAGGAAGAGGTGACGTTGGGGAGAATGTTCCTCCTGAAGCCAGGGAGGAAGCAGAAAGTGTGAACGAGAGGGACCTCGGCGAGGCAGAAGCTCTTTAAGAGGCTTATGAACACACACGCCCGGCCCCCACTTACTTGCTGAAATTAAACTTGGGGTACCAGATGTTGTTCTTTACCAAGAGGGTGAAGTTTTCCGCAGCATTTAAAAAAGCAGGCCTGGAAAAGAATTATAGTGGTTACTAAATACATACACACGGCTGCATGTCCCAACAGGTCCCTCTGAAGGAGAAACGGGAGCACCTAGCATTTTCTACTCTCTTCTCTGTAGCACTAGGTCACCAGGCCTTCCTCTGAAAAGGTGGGACTCCTGGTCCGAGGCACCGGCCAGTGAAGAACCTGAGCATTTGCTGAGGAGGATGTTGGCCATGGCCGCCATGATTCCTTAGCCGTCTGCTGGCCTCAGGTTTGCCTTTTCAGGTGTTTGTGGGGAACGGATGCTCCACAGATGTGGTTTATGAGTCTGAGCACAGGGGGTTCACCTTCAGGTACGTCCTGGCCTTGCTGAAAAGGAAGCCATACCACCGCAGGCTCTGAAGGGTGCCATGTCAGCTTCTGGCTGACACTCAAGCTGAGTCTGTTTTCAAGGGGACTCATTTCAGGAGTGGATTTTTCTCAATGAGAATCCAGAAATGCAGGACTGACCTTTCTGTGGAGGAGGCCTCCCCTGAGGCAGACAAGAACTTTGAAGTTATAAACAGGGTCATTCATATCAGGTCTGCCTTAGCAGCAAAGCCACTAGGGCCACATGATGAGGGGAGCTGAGCCCATCACCGCTGCTGCTAAGTGAGGGCCTGGAGCTCTTTCAGGCTCCAAGTCCGCATTCTTATCAAAAGGAAAGGATTATAACGTGGGTCTCTGTTTCTGCCATTTTCTGTATCATACACCAATAACCTGCACAGCCCATAGGCAGTACTTTCCAGTAAGATTACCTCACTGTTCTTTTCTTTCAAAAAAAAAAATGGAATGGAATTTAAATAAGATTAGCCATTTTAAAACTGAGTCCATTTAGTCAAGTAAGTGGTGGCTTTCAGTGTTGGTTCACACCTGTTACCCCAGCACTGCAGAGACTGAGGCAGAAAGGTCTGTTCTTTAAGGTGGAACACCATCCATTGTATGGACATATCGCAGTGTGTATGCATTCATAAGAATTGTGTTGCTCTCAATTTATTCCCAAAACAGCGCTATTAAAACTTGTTGTTGAGCTTGGTGGTGGTGGCTCACACCTCTAGTTCCAGTACTTGGGAGGCATAGGCAGGTGGATCTCTGTGAGTTCAAGGTCAGGTTGGTCTACAGAGCAAATTACAGGACAGCCAGGGCTATGCAGAGAAACCTTGTCTTGAAAAACCAAAACAGGGCTGGAGAGATGACTCAGGTTAAGAACATTGTCTGCTCTTCCAGAAGTCCTGAGTTCAATTCCCAGCAACCACATGGCTCATAACCATCTACAATGAGATCTGCTGCCTTCTTCTGGCATGCAGGCATGAACCCTGTAGACATAATAAATAAATAAAATCTAAAAAAAAAGTTAATCTTAAAAAAAAAAAGGAAAAACCAAAACAAACAAAAACTTGTAGTCTGCCCAGGGTGTGTGCTCTGGGGCTTGTTCTATGTAAAAAATACAAATCAGCAAGTGATAACCAAAACACCCCGAGTCAGGGCTTCCTCCTCTATGTAAAGGAAGAGACTGAATACGAATGGAAACATCTGTTTTCAGTGCCTGTGTGTGATACAGATGATATGCCTGTGTGCACACCTGTGTGATACAGATGATATGCCTGTGTGCACACCTGTGTGTGGGGGGCAGAGGTTATGTCTGTGTGTGAGGCAGAGGTTATGCCTGTGTGTGAAGCAGAGGTTATGCCTGTGTGCACGCCTGTGTGTGAGGCAGGGGTTATGCCTGTGTGTGAAGCAGAGGTTATGTCTGTGCGCACACCTGTGTGTGAGGCAGAGGTTATGTCTGTGCGCACACCTGGAGGCTGGAGTACAGTCTTAGGTGGCTTCCTCATGAGCACAGCCCACCTCCTCTGAGACAAGGTCTCCTACTGGCCCAGGGTGAGCCCCAGAGCTCCCAGAGCTCCGGTCTAAGTTGCCCACCAGCTTAGTCCTGCAAAGCACTGTCCAATATAAACACATTGTCAAATACATCTTAAGGCACGCTGTGATTTGTTTTCTTGTTTCTTCAGATACAGTCTCCATATATAACCCAGACTGGTCTGGTTACCACCCTCCTCCCGCCTAAGCTTCCTGAGCGCTAGGATCACCATCGCTGCTCCACACTGTACCTTTAAGTTTTTACATCAAAAACGTCATTAGTATACACGCATAGAGGCCAGACAGCCATGGCAAGCACTGGTATACACGCACAGAGGCCAGACAGCCGTGGGCAAACACTGGTATACACGCAGAGGCCAGACAGCTGCGGGCAAGCACTGGTATACACGCACAGAGGCCAGACAGCCGCGGGCAAACACTGGTATACACGCATAGAGACCAGACAGCCGGGAACAAGCTGCTCCTCTCCTCCCACCATGTGAGTTCTAGGGACAGAACTACAAGTACCCTTTTCTGCTGAACCATCTTCCTGGCCCAGCAGCCACTTTTGTTTTGTTTTGTTTGTTTTTTGAGACAGGGTTTCTCTGTGACCAGGCTAGGCTCGAACTCACCTGTCTCTGCCTCCAGAGTCCTGGGATTAAAGGCAGGCATGAGACACTACCGCCGGCCCAGCAGCTACATTTAAAAGTCAAAGAAGGTTAACACTAAAATGACCGAGCAGGTTGGATTCGTATGTTTATTATGCCTGTGTGCGTGTGTGCAAATGTGTGTAACAGAAACATGAAGCCATGAATTTGGGAGGGAGTAGGTATGGGGTAACCCATATAGACAGAGTTGGGTGGAGGAAAGGAGGGAAACACTGTAATTATATTTTAACTTGAAAAACTTTTTTTTTATATATAAGTAATGGGAGAGGGTGAGAGATGGCTCAGCAGTTAAGGGATCTCTCACCCTATGTCATGTGAGTCACAACCGCCTCTAACTCCGGCTCCAGAGGATCCAGTGCCCTCTGCTGGCCTCGTGGGCACCACAGGCACTTGGCAGAACTTGGCGGACATAAACATGTAGCTTTTTAATTTTTAAGAAATTTAATTAATTACTTAGGCTTTAATTTTTTATTTTATATACATTGTTTTTTCTGTCTACATCTATGTCTGAGTGAGGGTGTTGAATCCCCTGGAACTGGAGTTACAGACAGCTGTGAGCTGCCCTGTGGGTGCTGGGTCTTTAACTGCTGAGCCGTCTCTCCAGCCTCTTGGGTTTTTTGAGGCAAGGCTTCTCCATATAGCTCTGGCTGTCCTAGAACTCACTGTAGACCAGGCTGGCCTCGAACTCACAGAGATCCACCTGCCTCTGCCTCCCGAGGGCTGGGATCAAAGTGTGTGTGTTAGGGGTGGATGTATGTGTGCTTGATGCTCTAGCTGTCAAAAGCCAGTACTTGGAAAACCAAAGCAGGAGGCCAAGCATTCAGGGCTGGGCTGGGCTGGGCTGGGCTGGTGACAAGACCTAGTGGGTAAAGGCACTTGCTGCAATGCCTGAGGGTTTGAGTTCCATTCCTGGTCCTAAACAGCAGAGAGAGCTGATCCGCAAGTTGTTTTCCAACCTTCACATGTGCTGTGGTACACTTTACAAACACACACACACACACATATACACATACACACACACACACACACACACATACACACAAATTAAAAATTACTTAACAACAACAAAAGAGTTCAAAGCTATCTCTGGCCACCTAGTGAGGCTCTTTCAAAAAAACCAAGACGAGAAACCAAGAACTGTTTCCTGTTGGTTATTCGCACCCGACAATGCTCAGGCACACGTAAGTCACCTGCACCCTTATCACAAGTGACAACCCTTGTGGTCTCCTTGCTCTGTGGTTGACAACCACTCTCCCAGGGTGGAATGGCCCCACTCCCAGCACCCAGGCTCACGGCACCCTCTCAGTCACCTCCCTCCAGGCCTTGGGGAGGACTCACGTGGGCACGCCAGCGTCGTTCTCCACTGGGCACCATGCTGCTACCTCACAGGTCTTCACGGACTCGTTGAATGGGACACATTTTCCTGTCCCAACTCCTGCGAAGACAGAACAGGTCAGGGTCCATAGGGGTCTTGTCGCCAATCTTTTACCTTTGTGTTGTACAGTATGAGACTCCCGAGGATCCTGGGCAGTCAATCTTTAGTAAACTATGGGATTTAGATAGTGTCTAGAGATGGAAATAGAACAAGAAGGCTGCCTCAGGACTGGCCACACATCTGCCAGTGATACCAAGTCACAGAGAGGGGCAGCACCTGGGGTGTCTGCCACAGCACAGGTGAATGAATGCTAAGAGGGCTCCAGTTCTGCTCTGACACCAGATCCCCTAGGATCATGCAGCACTGGGGCGGGGTTCATCCCTGATGGTGGGCTAGAACTGAACCCAGGCTCATCCAAGCCAAGCTTGTGCTCTGCCATCGAGCTGTATTCCAGGTGGGGCGGCCGGGGGGAGGGGCGGCAGGTTTTTATTTCCGCAGTTTCTCTATCGCAGATGGGCCACAGCAGGTGTGATGTCATCGGGAGCCCTGGTCCCAGCTGCTCAGTCACCCACTCCTACCGTTGCTGTGGGTGCCTGTGGAGCCAAGAGTGCAGTTCAAGTCTGAGTTACAGATGGTGGTCTCATCAGGAACCTGCAAAAGGGAAGAATGAAAGCGGTTCCATGCGGTCTAGCCCCACACAGTTTGCCAGGAGCAGATGTGGGTGTGAAGCCCGAGGGCTTTCCCAAAGAGCCACCTACTTCTGGACAGGTGCTCTGTGTCTGGTTCACAGTGATGATCATGTTGGTCATGATGAAGAGCGAGTTTTCCTCCTGCAGAGAGGACAGAACCCTGTTGAGTCCCCCTCAGAAGTGAGTGGGGCGGGGCTGGAGAGAGGGCTGGAGAGGTGGCCCAGCGGTTAAGAGCACTGGCTGCTCTTCAGGAGGAGCTGGATTTGAGCACCCACATGGTAGCTCATAACTATCAGTAACTCCAGTTCCGGCGAACCTGACCCCCTTTTCTGGATTTCACAGGCATTAGGTGCGAAGTGGCGTGCAGACATACATGCAAGGGGAAATGCCTATACAATAAAGTTAGGTAAAATATGTCTAAAAAAGAAAGCATTTGGGTATGTAAAAACCAAAAACTACAGGTCAAGAAAACATTAAAAAAGAAGAACTGGTTGGTTTAATCCTAGTACTCAGAAGGTAGAGGCAGGAGGATCTCTGTGAGTTCCAGGCCAACCTGGTCTACAGAGTAAGTTCCAGGACAGTCATGGCTACACAGTGAAACCCTGTTTTGAAACAAAACAAAAACAAAAAGAGAAAGAAAAAAAAGAAAGAAAGGAAAGGAAGAAAGAACGAGCCAGATGTCCCCTTTTTGTGTGTGTGGGGGGGAGTAGCAGCTGAGATGGGGTTTCATGTAGCCCAGGCTGGCCTCGAATGTATACAGCCAAAGCTGCCCTTGAACTCCTGATCCTCCTGCCTCCACCTTCTAAGCACTGGGATTACAGGTGTGTACTATGAAGTCTGTCCAGAAATTTCCTTAAGAATACAATTTCAGGGGCTGGAGAGGTGGCTCAGAGGTTAAGAGCCTGGCTGCCCTTCCTTCAGTTCCCAGCACCCACATCCATGGTGGCTCCCAATCTGCAGCTCCGGTTCCAGGGGATCCAGTGCCCCTTTCTGGCCTATCCAGGCAAAACACTCTAACACATAAGATTAATTATTTCTCAGAGCACAACTTAAAAAACTGATCTGTGGTTCCCTGTTTGTCTCCACGGAGCTAATATAGCAACTGAAACAGATCACTGCACATAAATATTCCTGACGGGCAAAAGGTGGGAACAAGGCAAAGGCCTTGTGAATGGAAAATCTGCTGTGGCCAATGCGGGCAGTGGAATTAGCATTCGGTCACCAAATGGATACTGATACATGCTTGTCACACACACCAACCTCAGAAACATGCTACAGAGGGTGGGATGTAGCTTGGTGGTAGAATATTAGCCTAGCAGTCATAAGGCCCTGTGTTCAATTTCCACTTCCACCAATACACACGCACGCACGCGGGCTGGAGAGATGTCTCAGTGATTAAGAGCACTTACTGCTCTTCCAGAGAACCTGGGTTCAGTTCCCAACACCTACAATGGTGGTTCACAACCATCTGCAACACTAGTTCAAGGGTTGATGCCCTCTTCTGACTGCTGCTGGTACTGCATGTACATGATGCACATACAGATGCATTCAGGTGCACACACAGACACATAAAATATATTTTTTAAAAAGAATGCTAAAGGCTAGATATGATGGCAGACGCCTTTCATTCCAGTACACAGGAAGCAGAAACAGAAGGATCTTTGTGAGTTCAAGGCCAATCAGCACAGTGAGACTGTCTCAAAAAAAAAGCAAACAAATAAATAAACAAATAAATATTCTAGAGAAGAGCCTGTCAGCCAGTAACAGACATTTCTCTCTTTGAAGTGATTTTGCTTTTTCCTTGTAGATACGAAGGTACTAAGCCAGAACCTCTAGAAGCAATTCTCTGCAGACAGCAGAGAGGAATTGCTAATTATGACCTCCTCACACAAGAATAACAGACAGTGACCCCAGGAGATTCTAGTTAGATGTCCCCCCAACCTCCACTGGGTGCTTGGAATTTTAAAGAGCTACTAGAAACTTCAACACTTCATACTCCTCCTGAAAAGGCAGAGTCGGCCCTGGGAGCCATGTCGGGGAACAGGTCTGTGGGCACCCCATGTCCAGCTCTCTATTGTCTTTCCGTCCCCGTTGCTTATCTCTTCATTTAGGGACACTTCAATCTAGAGATGCATCACAGAGATGTGGTGGTTCTTTTCCGCCCGTGGAGACAGCTTAGGAGGAGAGCCCAGGGAAGCCCTCGCCCCCGATTCAGCTGCTTGACAGAACACAGCTGCTGGCTGGCCCTTCCCATTCAGTTCCAGGAGCAGGGCTTATACCCTCCCTTGGCTGCAGCAGGTACGCTGGGCATGACAGTCCCAACGCTTGTTAGGATGGGGTTGGAAGCCACCACCACTCTGCAGAGACTGGCACATACCAAAGAACAACCCAATTGCAACCACGTGCTCCACTGGTTTTAAAAAAGTTGTTTCCAGCCGGGTGGTGGTGGTGCACGCCTTTAATCCCAGCACTTGGGAGGCAGAGGCAGGCGGCTCTGTGAGTTTGAGGCCAGCCTGGGCTACAAGAGCTAGTTCCAGGACAGGCTCTAAAGCTACAGAGAAACCCTGTCTCGAAAAACCAAAAAAAAAAGAAAAAAAAAGTTGTTTCTAAGTTGTTCACTGTGTACGCTAGGTTGGCCTTGAAAATGACAGAGATCTGCTTGCCCTTGTTTTTTGAGTGCTGGGATTAAAGGTATGTCCCACCATGCCTGACAGTCCATTTTATTTTTTTGTCTCTTTAGCTCTGGCTTTTCTCCCGTCAGATCCTTCTGAGGAGGCCAGGGAAATGAACACTCTTAGAGGGAATATCTGAAGTCCTTGTTTTCTCTCTCCCAGCTCTAAGTGCTCACAGCTTAACTAGTTTGGCCGCCATACACACCAGGCCAGCCCATCAGCCATCTGGAGGAGACACCAGGCCAGGGTTTGGCCAAGAGGTGCTTAGCTAAAGAGTCAATGTTTAACTTGCAGCGTTGGAGCTGGAGATTTGGCTCCATAGCAGAGCGCTAGCCTAGCATGTGTGAGCCCTAGGCTCCATCTCCACGTCTAGAAAAAGAAAAAATGTCAGCTGGTGTCTGTGTGGACTAACATATAGTTGTAGGTTAGGATGCCCAGCGCGGTATTTCTTCCTTTTTGTTCCTGATGGATCTGATCGTTTCCTTTTAGTTTGGGTGTGTGGTCTTTAACTGCTGGTTTGGTTTGGTTTTTAATATACCCTCTGACAAACTTTACCTTGTGGGTGTAAAACAGGAAAGCAAACACAGCCTCACTCTGCCCAAGACTAAAGACCTTTGCTTTCTCATCCTTGAGAGCTCAGAGAGATGAAGGTGGGGGAAAGACAGGGCTGGGTGGAGCCAGCCACACTGGAGCAGCAGGTGAGCTCTCCAGGGTTCTCTGTTAGAAATGACGTCCCAGAGATCTGACTGCACTGCTGTCTCAGGCCAAAACACCCTGGGCACAGAGGTGGCCAACTCCGGCCACTCAGGAAGAGGCTCTAGTCACAGCGAGACATACCTGGGCTGGAATCACATAGTCTGCCACATCCCAGATCCGGAATCCGAGTTCAGAAGTGTTGGTCACAGCCACGCCTTTGGCCTTGGTCGTCACCGAGCTGACCACAGAGTCAGTTTCCTGGTAGCCCTTTTCCCACACAAACACCCACCTAAAAAACACAGCAGGTCACTGTCCTTGGTAAACTCGAACTGATGCCAGGGAGTCTCCGATAGCCACCTGGTGCGAGTGTGGCAGTCACTAATCACATGACCGGCAAAAGCTGTGAACGCCTATTCCACTCCACTGTATGAAATGGGCACAGTCGCCCCACTGGTTATTCCTAGCTAGCACAGTTGGTCATCGGCACATGGGAAAGGCTCAGCTAATGTCATCTTTATCACTGGATGTCTGAGCAGGCTCAAGACACTGTGGTTCATGGGAATCACTAATAATAGGATATTCTAACAATGGTTTCCATTTGATGTCCATGTAGTAAGCTGTTTTCATAACCACTTCATGAGTCACATAGCTTTATTAGCTACAGTTTACAGAGATAGGAATAGAGAAAAAAAATGGTTAAGTCACTCACCCAAGGTCATGCAGCTAGAAAATGGCCAGAGCAGGAATTTGAACTCTTGAGCCAGAAACCTCTGAAGCCTCTACTGTCTTTAGACAAGAGAATTCCATCTTCTAGGCTGGTTTTTCCTATGTGGCCCTGGTTGGTCTGGTACAGGCTGTGTAGCTCAGACTGGACTCAAATTCTGAGGTGGTAACCTTCCACCTCAGACTCCCAGATGCTGGGATTTTAGCTGTGAGACACTACACCCATCTGGTGCATGTGTGTGTGTGTGTGTGTGTGTGTGTGTGCATGAGCTGGTGTGTTTGTGTGTGTAAGTGTGGGCTCACATGTAAAAGTCAGAGGACAACTTTTAGAAGTTGATTTTCTCCATCGTAGATTCTGGGGATCAGATTCAAGTTGTTGGTCTTGCATAGCAAGTACTTTTTTGTTTTTAAACTTGTGTGGTTAGTTTCTTTGAGACCATGTTTCTCTTTGTAGCTCTAGCTGTCCCAGAATCCATTCTGTAGACCAGACTAGCCTCGAACTCAGGTATCTGCCTGCCTCTGCCTCCCAAGTGTTGGAATAAAGGTGTGTGCCATTACGCCCAGCTAGCAAGCACTTTTTGAGACATGGAATCGCTATACAGCTCTGGCTGGTGTTCAATACAGAGCCCAGGCTGGCCTTGAACTTAAGATGATGGCCTGCCTCATTCTCCCAAGCATTAGGATTACGGGCCTGTGTCATGTTCTGCTCAGGGAATTTATGTTTGTGTTCTTGTGTGTAAGTCTGCATGTGTAGGCCAGAGGGCAGCCTCGGAGACCCTTCCTCAGAACACGCCTATTTTGGTTTTCATACATGGTCTCACCATGATGTCCTGAAACTTGCTATGCAGATTAGACTGGCCTTGGACTCCAAGAGATCTACCTGCCTCTGCCTCCTGAGTGCTAGGATTAAGGACATGTGTCACCCCTACAGTTGGCTCCCACCTTGTTTTTCTGAGACAGGATCTCACTGACCTGGGGTTGGATGATTAGGCTGGTCAGTGAGCTCCAGGGATCTACCTGATTCTGTCTTCCCAGTACTGGGATTACAATTATGTGATACTGCATTAGTTTTGGGTCTCGAACTCTGGTCCTTATGAGTTGAGTACTTCACCATCCTGGCTGTCCCTCGGCCCCCGGGGAAACTTCTACAGTACCATCCTAGGAATTCTGATCATCACATCGCTACTCTCCTTCAGAAGTAAGGGTGTTAACTGCTGGGCTAGATAATTACAAATCTAAAGTGTGCCGGATACTGGACATGAACTGGAGTCACTGGGTCTCAGTTTTGATGCAGTCACTGTTCCTACCATTACACGGAGGAGGCCAGCAGAACACCTGAGGATTGCGCGAGATAAACCGATAGGCGAGGCAATGTCCTGAGCGCCAGGCAGCAGTCAGAACGCTGCCCCCCAAGAGCTTAAACCTCCACGGGACACCAGTCTGGCTGTGGTTTCAGAACCAAGAAATGCTAAGATCCACCTCCTTGGGAGACACTCCTCCCCGGCCAGACTTCCGAAATTGGTGTTTTCTGTTACCTTTTCATGGGTTTGTTTGACATGAGCCATCCCCAAATCTTCTGCCCATCCTAAACTTGGGTTTCTCTCCCACCAAGTCCTCTTCTGCAGGGCATCTTGGCACCTGCTAGCACTAGAGCCCACATAACCCACTTTGACACAGACCTTAGGGCACAGACCCAGAACACTGAGTTGCCGACTGGAAAGAGAAATGGCGCCATCATCGTGTGATTAGCTACTTCCTCATCACAGAAATAAGATCACTGGGGACTCTGAGGTCAGTGTCTTTTTGAGGAAGGATTTGCTTTATGCAAAAAGAGATTATACTTTCACCAAGATTAATGAAATCAGGAAGCTAACAAAGAAGTTTAAAAGCCAGGAGGTGATGGATCGTCCTTATAATCCCAGCACTCAGGAGCCTAAGGCATGAAGATCACTTCAAATCCCTCTGCCAGCCTGGACTATGTCACACAAGTGCAAGGTTACCATGGGCTGCATAGTAAGGCCCTGCCTCAAAAAACAACAAAAGTTTAAAATAAGTCCTGAATTTATATCCTGAGTCGATTCTGACCACAGTAAGATGAGCGAAAGCAAACATGGCTTGTTTTTGTTGTTTTAATAAATGATGGGATAGATATTACTATACAAGGAGATGCCATAGCTAGGCTGCCCAATAGAAATAGAACACCATCGGGGTGGGGCGTGTAGCTCAGTGGTAAGAGTTCATGATTAGAAATACATTGTAAGCCAGGTGTGGTACATGCTTTTAATCTTTATGAGTTCAAGACCAGCCTGGGTTACATATCAAGTTATAGGCCAGATAGTTAGAGATCTTGTCTCAAAGAAAAGACACAGAAAGAATTAATGACATATTTTTATGTGGTCCAATATAGATAAAATATTTTAACATCGTGTCTACAGTGTCGGATTGGGAACTGGACATGGTAGTGTACCCCTGTCATCCCAGCACTTGGGAGGTAGAGGACCATTTGGGAGTCCAAAGTCATCATCCTTGATGAGACTGAGTAGGACATCCTGGGCAAACACAGACCCTGTCTAATCTGAGCCCCCCCCAATCTCCTCCCCAAATAAAGGCTGGAGATGGTCTCCCAGCTTGCTGTGTGAAGGACCTGAGAGTCATCCCCAGACCCCACCCCACCGTGGAAGGAGAGAACTGACTCCCAAACGTTGTCCTCTGCCTTCCTCATGTGCTACGGCATGTGTGTACCCTCACTCATACAGAGATACCCACACACTAAGAAATAAGATCAGCATTTAACGAAGGCTACAGCCCTCACGAACACAAAGCGTGCCTAGCGTGCACAGGCCTTTGGTTTGATCTCTGGGACCTCAGGGGAAAAGGTACTTTTTTTTTTTTTGAGTCTGATATCCAAACAATCTTCCAAATCTAGTGTGTGTTTTTCAGTTTGAGTGCATTTTAATTTCGAGACAGCTCGAGCAGTCTGCATGTGGCGCTCTTAAGATAACGGCAGCCACAGACCCTTCACGGTACAGAACATCAACACTGAACACATCATCCCAGGAAAGCAAACCGAGAGCGCAAAGCCCCATCGGCGCTCTGGATTCCAGGTAATCCTAATCCAATAATCTAATCTAGCGGCTAGTTACTCTGTCAGCTAGCCGCCCGTCTCAGTACTCCAGCACCTTAACAAGTCCAAACCTGGATACAGGCCAGGTGTTCTTCAGGGACTGGGGCAGGACACAAGGCCTCATGCATGCTAAACACACTTTGATCTATATAAGACTTTCAGAGACAGGGTCTCGTGTAGCCAAGACTGGGTTTAAACTTAGCGTCCTCCTGAGTCAGGCTCCTGAATACTGGGATTGCAGGCACATCCACAACTCCCGCACCAGACTTCGGCAGGTTACCTCTCATGCCTGCTGCTTCTGCGCTGACATATGTTGGAAAGGAACCGGGCCATCTTGTGAATTCCCTTAGGCAGTCTGAACAGATTCCAAACTTCACACCAAAGCAGGGGACCTGTTACTTTACTGTTTATTTCTGAGACAGGATCTCACTATATATAGTTCTGGCTGTCCTGAAACTCACTTTGTACACCAGGCTGGCCTGG